GGGAAACTGCTGGAACACTGGATCAATTAGATACCTAATAGAAGAGGAATTTGATTTTATTTAAAACAGAAACTGAAATAGAGCAGGTTTTACTTGCACTCTGACAGTCTGACACTCTCACTCACCAAAAGGTCTGTGCCTGAGCTTCCTGCCCAGCAGCCAGGCACCAGGGCAGGGGTTTTCAAGCCATCAGCCTGGCAGCTGGGCACCATGATCATCATGACCAGATATTAGGCCCAGGATCTTTTGTGATGATGCAAAGGTCCAGGGATGCCAGCTAAGAAGCCCTTCTAACATCTTCTGTGTTCTTCTTAGGTTGGTAACCATGCATAGGTTCCGGTTATGCCTTTTTGTACCCTTTGGTGCTACTTCTCTGTCCTGTCCCACCTCTGAGTCCCCAGGTGCCATCACTGATTTGTTTCTAGATGTCTCTGTCCTGTGAAACTGGCCTGGATGTGTTGGGTTCTTACTGACCTGCTAGTCTGAGTATCATTAACACAGGTTGTTATGAGTGGCCTTTCCCTGCTGTGTGCTTGTGCTGTTGTCTCCACACACAGATCTTCCCAGTCTTTCAGCTACAGTTTTCTACAGCAAAAGATAGTAGGCCACCAAAAACACTTTTACGTGCAAAGTTTTGTTGCAGCATATCTTTAAACCAGTAGTGCCTAAACTTTCTTTTCTCCCAAGTACTTTTGGAATTAGATTTAACTTTCTCTTTAATGTCTCTAACTTCTTTTAAAAGATAACTTAGGATAGTTTTACTGTACCAACCCATTTTTGGACATCCATCAGACCATTCCAATCTCAGGTATAAATCTTCTACATAAATCACAATAGATTGCACTTTTCTAATCCCTTAGATTACCATGGGTAACAGTACAATATAGCTGGAACCTCTAAAACCATGTACATATTAGAAATTATTTCTGAAAATAGAGTGATACTATCACTAATATATTTTACGAAAACAGTAATTGAGAATACCAAGAATAATTAATAGAAGACAATACTAAAATGCAACTAGTCAGGGAATCTAAACTGTTCTGCCTGTTTCCAAGCAAGTGACTCAAAGGGCACTTCATTTCTAAGAAACATCTGTTCTCCAGATGCTTGCTACTCTATTGAGATTGGGACACTAGGCACAGTAATTTTCCTCATGTAGAAATTTACCCTGGTTGAAACATTGTTTTGATATATTTTGGTTTTCAGTACTGAATATCTAGTATGTCTGTACTCAGAAGAAGGATTTTATTTTACCTTAACAGGAAAATGGAAAACCAAATGGTAGAGCATATGAGGTAGTATGATAGGCACTGAGAGACTCAGGATAAAATGCCATCAAAATAACTAATATTTCTTCAAAGCTTGTTAGTTATTGTAGGATTTCAAGTTTTACTGCTATATTTTGCAAAGCAGGTTTCAGTTTTCTATTTTTGTGAGGTTGGAAATACCAGCATTGGTTGGATGAAGTAAGTAAGTGAAGCAAGTGATGAAGTAAGTAAGTGAAGCAAGATCAACTTGCTACATTCATTTGAGGAGATAAACACCTGTTTGAAAAAAGTTTTCATTGTTGGTGGTGTAAACTAATGCTGAAGATTGAAAAAAGTTTTCATTGTTGGTGGTGTAAATTAACGCTGAAGAGCAATCTAAAGCTGAGAGTAATGTTTATTTCCAGCATATCTGAAATACAATTATTTTAGGAAAGCTCGTATAGATATGATCCAGAGAAATACAATATATGGCAAGGTTATTAAGGTTCAGATTTTTCTGAGTGACACTGAGGATGTTTTTGTGCAAGATAAACATACTTACACGGAAAAACCTTGGATTCCTTCCCAAGGACACCTTCTGCCTATTTAACAACAACAACAAAAGTGAAAGATCATATGTGGATGTTTGCTCATGTTCACTAAGGAGTAATAGATCTTTCTGTATGTTTTAAAAACTTTGCAAAGCAGAAGATAGAGCAGCATTCTCAGCATAACTAGCTGATTCTCTTACCAGCTCTGAACTTGGTCTGAATGATTTCATCAAGATATTCTTACATAGAGGACTTATTTGGAAAACAGTACCTTTAAACTGCTTAATTAAATATTCAACCAGAAAAAGAAAAAGTTCCTTATTTTTAGGTAGAGGAGCAATGTATTAGAATATTGGAGTCTAAAAATAAATATTCTAAAATTAGAGAACTATAAGATATGTTTACTCTGGAAGCTACTAAAATACAAAGGCAAGGTGAATTTGTTGTTGAGGCTGTGTCTTTTGAGGGGACTAATATCAGCATAGAGCTCCTAAATGGGAAAGGGGACACAATTTAGGCACAGGGAACTCTGCTACGAGTGTAAATTCCCTACTTATTGTCCCCTGGACATTGTTTCTGTCTTCCTGATGTCCTTTTCTGTCAGCCAGTTGCTTTCTTCAGTGTACTATGCCATCTTCTTTTCTCCAGCTATTGTTTTGTGAATAGTAAATGCTGGTTATAAACCTCCATGTTGTGTGCAACAGAATTACTGGAATAACACCCAAACTGAACAAGCAGTTTGAGTGCTACAGACTTTAATGCACTAATGGAGTATATCTCATGATTATATACAAATCACGTTTACGAGTTACTAATACCAATATTCTATCCCAGAAAAAAATGGATTCAATAAAAATGACAACTACAGCCTGAAAAACTCAAATTAATGCATGTGTAATCTTTATATTTTGTGTTCTACCTGCTGTGCAGTAATGTTTATAGCCATGTTTAGTGTACAGTATCCACCCTCCAGCATAAAAGCCATAAAGGAAATTACCTTTAATGATATGTTAGTAATACTAATCTGCTCAAACAGCATTAATATCTTCGGTTCTGACTTTCTGCCTGCTGTGGAACTATATGAATATTGGATGTATAACCAGGAGAAGCACATAGGAGTAGGTTGCTTCTTTCTTCTGTATTTGACCCTAGTGGAAGATACTAGATAATATAGCATAATTCCAGTGTTTGCTTTCTTTTAAAAGGATGCTGAAAAATGTAGATACAGCTCTGCAGTATCTCCCTAAGCAGTTACTGCAGAGTCATTCACATGCTATAAATTCACCTCCTAGTTTAACTTGTGCTAACTGGTTCATGTTACAGTTACCTATGAACAGATGGTGAAGGGCACACTTGACCACAGCTGTAAATGGAGCACCTAGACACAGTAAGAGTCTATTAAATCTAAGATAAAATTTGGTTAAATAAGGCCAGGCAATCCTTAGTTAAGAGTGTGACTACTATAGATATTAGGGCAGAGGGTGGGGGAAGTTAACCTTTCACACACATTTTGGGAAAAATATTTTTGTGGCAGTTTTTATACACTGAATTACTAAAACTGTAGGTTGATTATTGTACTTCCTCTGTATTAATTGCAAAGCTGTATTATCTGAACACATTTAATCTTTCATCCAATCCTCCTTGTGAATTCTGCACTTATTCAAAATGTGTAGCATCCAGAAATTGTTTTAGAAATTGAATAGAACAATATTTTTAATTAGTTTTTACTGAAAATTTTAAATTGCAGGTAAATATAGTTTAATTATGTATTTTGTATATTAAAAAACAGTAATTTTTTAGGTTTCCACTAGGTTTTATATTATCTGGGGGTTTTTGTTAATGTCAAGTGTTTTAGGGGCCCTGGTTGAATTTTTGAATCTTAAATTAAACTCCTTAACAAAAAGAAGACAATTTAAGTTACTTAGAATTTTCTAAAAAGATGTATTTAGGTTCACTGTCAAATGAGAAGGTATAGTTGTGTCATGATGCAGCCAAGGTTCTTTCTAATTAGGTCTTCCTATTTACTCTTTTATAAGGAGTAAATTTCTTTTGCTCAGTTTTATAGGACTGGGATATACTTAAGTCGGAAAATGTATTGGTAAGTTCAAAGACTCATGCCACATCATCCCTATATAGGGGCTCAGAGGTTCAGAGTATCTAAATAAACCCTGTGACCTCAATTACAAATTGAAGGTGGTTTTTTTGAGGGGTAGCCAATGCTTCTAGTGTTTTTTGAGGCACTCAGCCAAAATGCTTTCAGCACTTGTTCAGGTATGCAGGGAGCATAGCAAGTGCCATGACAGCTTACACTGTGAAATTCGATTTTAAAAGTTGATTAGTGTAAAACCCTGCTTTGATAGGACCAATTCTGTACTCTGATAACTTATAAATAATCCCAGTAAACATCAGTGAAGTCAAGGAAGACTGATAGAAGCAAAAGCTATTGCTACTAGACTGGAAAAGAGCATTCAGATTGAACTTGATAGCAATTAGTTTATGTTTATGAGCTCGTTCTTTATTAGGATGACAAAGAGCCTTAAAATAAAACATGCAGAATCCTAATGAGCTGTAGAAGGAAGTTAATGTTTCCTTTTGAAATCTCTTCTAGTGAAGGAAGACCTTCCCCCAGAGTGGAACTACTGCATAACATAGACCCCATGTTTGTGGATGACTTCCCATGTGAGTATGCTACTGATTGTTCAAGGCTTACTAAACTTACAGTTTATCTTCTGAACGCTTCTTGTTTTCCTTAAGTGAAGTATTTCCTTCTAGATGAAACAAAATAGAGTAGGACGCCTTCTGCTTTTAAGTAAATAGCTTTAAATACAGAAACAGTGTCCCCTGGGTGCTGTAAGTACTTACTGAATCATGACCAACACACACTTCCTATTTCAGAAAGCTCTGAAGCACTGCTGATTAATGAATTAAGTACTTTGAGACCTGGAAGTGTTGAGAAGCAGCCATGTACCTGAGGTGCACAGGGACGCACATTGCCAAAAAACCCTACCAAGCCCTGTCTTCAGTGCTCCAGGTTGGCAGGTAGCTCCCAATGAACTGCTTGTTCTAACACATCTTGATACATCTATATAATATGACTTGCAAATGGAAGACTTGAATTTGTGAGAAGCTGAGAAGTTCCAAGCCTTGTGATTGCTTTTGTTCCATAATCACATGGGTTGGATCCTTAATGCCAAAATCACATGAATTGGAGCTTAAGTTTGCCGATTCCATAGCTCTTTAAGCACCATCTGTTTTATGATTCAACATTATTAGTTTGCTAAGGACTACATACTTCTCAAGCAGAGATTTTTTTCATACAGAACATTGGAACAGGTCCTTTCCAGTGTTCTTATAACATTTCTGTATTTCATTAAATAAAGAAGTAAATCCAGGCAGAGGAGAAGTAGTGCAGTGGGGACAGTAATCTGTTGCCTGCAAGACAGATACACATTTTATCTTCTTCTGCAGTGCACCTCTGTTTTTATGATGCTTTTCTCAGAAGGAGCAACATTGTGCCTACGTAGTGCTGGCTGGACAGCACTGCATGCAGATAATTCCTACATATTGATGGAATTAAGGTGTAGCTACTCCAATTTCCCTTCAAAGGATGCTCAGTGAGTCGTAGCATTCCTGTGTGATGTTATGCCCTGATGTGGTATTCTCAGGCATGCTTCAGAGACCATATTTTCCTTGTGGGAACGGTGTTGGAGTAGACAAATTCCTGGTTTAAATAGAAGGGGGATGGGCAGAGAGGATTTTCAGGAGCCTAAGCTCAGGAAATACTTCACCTGGTTTGCTTCCATGATGCCATACTCTGATGATACTTCACTGTTTGCTACGTATAGCATGTCCTTACTTTTCATGTGCGCTGCATGAGATGTGGGCAGGTGGGCAGAAGATGTAATAAGTGGAACTTTTATGCTGGGTTAAATGTGACTTTTAAGCATCATGAGCAGAGGAAGGGGTGTGCATGCCTCTAAATTTACAGTGTTTTTATGTACCTTGCAAAACTGGAGTAATTAAAACAAAACTGTAACTCTTCACCCACATGTCCTTACACGCTATCTAGAGTTTCGCTGTCTTTTCTCAGCAAAGGACTATAATTTTGGCAAGTTACTTTGTTTTTCTTTCTCCCTTAATAGCAGTTTCAGTTAGGAACAGGTAAAGTTACTAATTAGTATACCTTACGTTATGACCTCCAAATTAGTATACCTTACATTTTTCCTAGTTTTGATTTTATACCATTCCTAAAGGATTTAAGAGTAAGTAATTGTATTTCTGATAGGTTCGACAAGATGTATCACATGTATCATGTTAAACATAACAAAATGTACATTAAACTGTACTTTTTCAGATCAATTCTTTTAATTAACATATTGTATCTAATGCAACAGAGCATGTTAATTTATAGTCCACTGTTAGGGACAAGAAATCCAGCTTTCTTTGTACTTCATCGATTGTCATAATGTGCTCAATTTCTTCTAGGTTAACTGGAAACTGAAATTATTTTGCGCTTTGCAGGATGAGTCATTGTATTATTTATGATTCTGTTTTTGATCCAGCTAGTGAAATTATGCTTTGTCATATAAGGATTAAAATTTATGTTTATCAATCTGAGTTATTAAGAGTAACTGTATATGTATGTCACTCAGCTGATTTCTACTTAGTGTCTGGTTTTCATTTGTGCAAATTGAGTAATAAGCTTAGAATTAAGATTAAGATAAATGTTGTTGGTGTCTCTGTTTTGAATAGATTAGGGAAACACGAAGCTTGGGATATACAAGTACTTTAGTATTTTCAGTAATCAATGTCTCTCTTTGTGGTTTTTTTGGGTTTTTTTTTAAAGGCATTTTAAAATAAACTACCTGTACAGTCTTGTCACCAAGTTGATAAACTGTATGTCGCTCTAGAGACTTGCTCTTTCCTTGACTGTTTATTCCTTCATTGTCCTAACTGTTTTGAGATCAGAGTACACTTTTGCCTACAATGCTGAAATATATGTACGTACATTTTGCTGGCTTCTTTCTCACCTCCTGTGTAGTCTTGGGCTTCTTTATGCCCATCTTGCCCTTATCCTATTCCACTTAAAAAAACACATCACCATCATCTAAGTCTTGTGTCAGATGAAGTATTCATATTATACTAATACTTTATTTTTTGTAGAAATTGAATTAGAAAGTAAAATAGTGACCAGGAGATACAAATTAGACAAATCTTTGGGTTTGCAGAGTACTGTGAAAAAGCAAAAAGGAAATTAAGTCTCAATATACTGTTAAACATAACCAAAAATCTTCAAGGATATTGCATACAATGAGGCAAGTTCTGATCACAATATTATTAAGGAAGACACTGTACTCTTTTAGTTGTGTACACATAGGGCCTTAAATTATTGTTGTACTTGCACTCAGCAGAGGTTCAGTGCTCCTGAACTCTTAAGTGTTTTTGCATATGATGTATATATTGTTTCAGCATAATATTATTATTTAATGGATGCGTTTATCTTCATCTTGGTCTGAATAAACTGATATTATGTATTTTCAGTACCATGAGTGATGAGATGTCTCATGTAATTGATTTAATTTTTTTTTTACTGAAATAGGAAAACTGAGCTTTGTTCTGTTCAGATTTTTTAACATCAAAATAAGCATTCCTTCAGGGAAGAATTTGTGCAAAGGATGTTAATTAATTTAATGTCACCTTGACTGTTACAGCCAAGTATTCAACATAATGTTAAGTTAAAGGCAGTTCATGCTACCTTGATTACAGAGCTAACTACATATTTGCTGCTGTGGTCTGTTAGAACTGACCTTGACCTGTGTGTTTACCGCTCATGGGGTAACATCATACAGCTTCTCAAGTTCTCACACTGAGCGCTGGTTTCTAACCTCTGGGCATTAGCCAGGGCTACTCCAGCAGATCTGATTTATCTACTGATCAGCGTCTATTTACCTTTTTTAAGGAGCTTATGTCCAGTGGTAAATGCTGTAGCCCTACAGTAGTCTTGTATCAAAGTACTGTACTTCTTTCCTGTTAATACGAAACAACATAAGAGGGTTGTAAACTAGTTTGTCTGCAGTTCCCTTTTACAAAAAAATGCTGACAGGTCTTATATCGCTGACACTTTCAACTAGTCGTCTTCTTTCTCAGAGGGCAGATTTTCTTCATTCAAATACAAACCTTCCCATTGGTCTGAAACATATTGCAGTGTTTTGGACTAACTCCTTGTTTGCCGTCTTCAGTACTCATAAAGGGGTTCCTGTCCATAACCACAAACTTTATCTGCAGGCTCCCTTTGACCTGTGGCAGCCCAGTTGACAGTATTTTCTCTCAATGAACTGGTCTGGTTTGCAATGCAGACCTACAACAATTGCAGTGGTGTAACAGAGGAGGTGGTAGAGTGAAAAACTAGGGGGAGATCTCCAAAAGCTAAGATGAGGTGGAGACTGGGTTGTGGTCTTTATACCAAAGCCAGTCTGGTGGTGAGCTATTGGCAAGATGGCCAGCCTGTCCTCTCACTTTCTCCCATCCTTTCCTCCTTCCCTTGCGTTGGGTCTGGAAATCATGTAGCAAGATGAGTCTCCTGCCAGATCAGCCTTTGGAGTATTCTGGGTGGCAGGGGAAAAGATCAGGAAAGGTTTCCACCATGTCAGCCAGCTGAATCAACTTGCCCTGTAGCGGTATGACTGGGAGTGAGGGGGATGTGTGGTTGGTGACAGATGGAAGGACTGCCCACAGGACCTGGCAGCTAAGATCAGCTCAAGCCACCAGGGAACCTCAGCGAGAGGCAGTAGTTTCGTAGATTTTAAGCTGGCATAGGTCGCTGTGGCTCCCAAAGAGGAAATCCCGCCTGCCACAGTGCCTCACCACCTCTCCCCTCTCTTGCGAATCACCAAAACCACTCACAGAGCCAGGCTATGAACCAAGTCAGGATATAGGTTCAGATTTTAATAACCTTTTTCTTTTTTATTTCCGGATGTATGTTGGATAGCCAAGTGCTCATTTTGGCACAAAGGATGGGACTAGAGGGAATTTCAGGGGATAGGTGACACTGATTCTGTTGGCTCTGAAAGTAAACCCTGAGGTTTCTATTTCGTAATACGTGATGAAGTGATCCAGCAAGTTTCTGCTGGGAATGTGCTTCGCTTCCTCCCCTGCCCATTCCCTGTCACGTGCTCCTAGTGCTTATTTTGCCTCCATTCTGGCACTCCTTGGATACTTCCATGAATTGATCCAACTTGCTGGCCTGATTTTCCTCTGTCAGGTGGGTTGAATCCACTAATTGGAGGGGCTGATGGATGCCAGAGGCAGCACAAGGTGGTGGCGAGGAGGACTGTGTGGTTGGAAGTGAGGAGGCAGAGGGAGAGCCAACCCTCCTAGTGCTGTCTGGCTGCTCCTGGAGCCAAACCCCCGGGGGGAAGGAGCGGGGAACCACACCTTCTGGTTGGACCTTGTTGTGCTAAACCAGTCTGGTGAGCTCTTCAGATGGAGTTGGACCCAGACTCCTCAGAGGTGGTTCCTCCTCTCCCTCCTTGCTAAAAGCCATTGCTTCTATCTTTCTGGTTGTTTCTTCATGATCCTGTTGATTATTTTCAAAAGTCATGAATATATATCTCAATTGCTGGGTCTCAGTGTAGATTTGTAATTTATTACAAAGTTTGCAATTACATAAAAGCAGGATA